CTTCCTCCTCCTCGACGTAAGAGGCGGCGGGCGCCCTTCGCCCCGCCGCGCCCGCCGCGCCGCCCCTAAAGGCGCGGCCTGGGCGCCCGCGGCCGCCTTCCTCTCCCTGCCGGCCGGGGCGGTGCTGCTTGCTTTGCAACCGCGGAGGCATTTCGCTCACGGGAGGTCATTCCCACGCATCTGCAGGTTAGGCCGACCTCCGGGCTGAGGAGCACTAGGGCTGCCCAGTAGAATGCCCTGTGCCCCCATCCTTCTGGGGGGAATGGTTTTCCATGGGAAGAGAGAAAGATGGAAGTGGTAGGAAAAGTTGGGAGGGCTACAGCCTGAAGGTAACAACATCTGGATACCCTGTAAATTTCTGTGAGGCAAGCTGATGGGTAGCGCCAGCTGCTTCCCACCTAGAAATAGGAGCCGCTCTCGGGGGCATTTTCTCCCTCCCGTTTTGCTCTGTTTCAGACCTGCGGTGCAATCTCAGCTCATCTCCAGCATGGCAACAGGGCCAGGAAGCACAAGCCAGGAAGCACTTTCCCAGGAAAGGCCGGACCTCTCCTCTGTGGAGCAATTTGTCTACTGCGAGGGGGACTTTGTGCGGCACGGCGTGAAGTGGCAGAGACACAGGCCCTGTGGGCCGGCCAGCCACCCCCAGTCCCACTTCGACAGAGTGCTGCAGCAGGGCTGGACAGACAGACAGCGTAGGGGGCTATTCTGCTACCACCTGGGGGAGCTACAGACCCGGATTCTGCCAGGCACCGTAGGGTTTGTCGCCCAGCTGAACATTGAAAGGGGAATAAAGAGAAGAAAGCCCCAGGAGATCCAGAGCATCAGGCAGCGTTTTGACCCCTGGCAGTTCAATTTCAATAGGATCCAACCTGCGGAGGTTCTTTTCTGCATGACTAGGGCCGGCGCTCCCTTGGCAGGGGGTGCTCAGCTGCCCGCTCCCTCCCCCTGCGTCTTCGTTGTGATCAACGTCAGCCCCCTGCAGTTCGGGCACACGCTTCTTATTCCTAGCCCGGCGCTCTTGTTGCCCCAGATTCTCACGCCAGAGGTCCTTCGCTTTGGCCTGGATGCCGTTCTGCTCAGCGCCCGTCCTGGATTCCGCACTGGCTTCAACAGTCTTGGAGCCTTTGCCTCTGTCAATCACCTGCACCTGCATGGATATTACTTGGACTGGGAGCTGCTGGTGGAAACGGTTCCCTGCGAGCCCCTCCTGCCTGAAGCAAGCCTCTATCTGCTGTGCGGGGTCCCAGCCCCAGGCTTCATGTTTTACAGTGATGGGCAGCAGTTGGAGAAGGTGACACATCAAGTTTGCCAAGTCACCAACTATCTGGTAAAGAATGAGATTGCACACAACCTGTTTATTACCCGAGGGGCTCTACCAGAGGGGCCCATTCATTCAGCTGCTCGGCCAGGGATCCGAGTCATTGTCTGGGCTAGGAAAGCCTGCTTTGGTGTAAAAGAAGAGTCTGCATTTAATGTGGCACTTTGTGAGTTGGCCGGGCACCTGCCCATCAAGACTGCCCAGGACTTTGAGGGCCTCACAGAGGCATCAGCCATTCACACAATTCAGAAGTATCTACTCCCAGATTTTCAGTTTGCCCAGCTGCAGTGTGAGCTAGTGGACCTCCTCAAAGGGTGACCTCTCAAAGGTGATGATCTCATTTTGGATATGCTGCTCATTTCTGTCTCTTTGCTATGGTTTGTTCTTTGCAAAGGGAGCCCTGCTGCCCACACAAAAGTGGTAGGAAGCCACAGTAAGGCATTCAAGATGCAGCTGCACAGCCATCTGAGCGGGATGGTTCAACCTGGAAACCTTCACTGAGCAGGGGGTTGGACCCAATGGCTTTCCAGCTCTACTGCTCCATAATATATTGCTGGCCAATAAAGCACATGGTCAACTTGATTCATCTTTGTTCATTGGGATCATAACTGGTGAAAAAAGAGAGGAAGTCTCTGGGAATATTTCTTTAACACTGCTTACCCTCTGGGAAGTTTTAAAAGGACATCTGAGTTTAGTGCAGAGACTTCTGATGGAATAAGGATACCTCATGAGCACAGATTGAACTGCATTTCCATGAAGAACAGTGTTGCACTCTTTTTGCCTCTGTGCTTGTTACTGGCATTGCCAAGTTGGGACTGAACACAAGGGGCCCTTTGAATCCATCCTGCACTTAGCCTTTTAAGGCATGCTCAGATATCATTTACCCATAAGGCAGATTAGTAGAAACAGTCCAATAACTGGCCCAGGGAGAAGAAGCCAGATACTTCAGAAGTAGGCATGTAGACATAGCATGTTTCTCTTGTCTGAGAATGCACTGCCAGGAGATTTGGCCCAAAATGTGTACCTGCAAGTGTGTAATCCCTGGCATCTCCAGGTAGTGCTGGAAGAGGCTCAAATGAAATGCTTCTAGTCAGTCTAATTGAGATATTATGGCACAGGGCATCGGTGGGAGTCATCCTCATATGCCCAGTTTCTTGATTCTGCTGGGAAAGATGCAGGAGGAGAGTCATCCCTGGGCACCTTCTTGCTGCAGGGGTGGGAGAGTAAGGCAGGCATTAAGCTCATCCCAGTAATGCCTCTGAAAGACAGGGGTGGGATTACAGTCTTGTCCCTATTGCAATTATGTGTAGGGGGGGGGGTTGTTTGCACGTATGTGGCTACCAACCCAGCACCCTTAATGAGGGCCACACCTTGTCCACCTCTAAGCTAGGTGGTGGTTATGTGTCATCAAGTCGTCTCCGACTTACAGCGACCCAATGAATGACAGCTCTCCAAAACGTCCCTCCATGACGGTCCTGCTCGGCTCAGATCTGCAGTTTCCTTTACAGAATCAATCCATCGCATGCGCGGGGTAAATCAGTTATTTTACTCGGTGTACGTGCATTTCCTAAGTCGACCAGGCGTGCCGAAGAAAACGAGGGGGAGGCGCGGGAGTGCCCCGGCTGCGATGCCGGCGGGCAGGACGCCGGGGCCGTGGGCGAGCGAGGGAGGCGGGGCGCCGTCGCGTTGGCTCGGCCGTCCGCCAGAGCGGTTGGCGCCCTGCCCGCGGAGCGCTGGGAGCGAGCCCTGCACAGCGGCCGGGCGGCCTGCGCGTGCGCAGTGACCCGCCGACGACGGCGCGCGTTTGGCAGCGCGACAGGTCACGTGCGTGGGGCGGGCGCTAGCGAATGACGCACAACAGACGCGAAGAGGGGCGGGCGGGTCTCTATGGTGGTATCGCGCCGGCCCCGCCCCGCGCCGTTGCCCGCCCGGGGGCGGGGCCCGCTGTCGGCATGGTGACCGCGTCGAGGCCCGAGCGAGCCCGAGGCCTGGCGCCGCCGCTGCCCCGGGGCCCGGTGAGGAGGAGCCCCCGCGAGTCGTCGCTGGAGCGGCGAGGCCGGCCGGGGCCGCGAAGTCGCCGCAGCGCGTTGCTGAGGCCGGGGAGCCAGCCGCGTGGCGAGCGGAGGGCAGCGCCAGCTTCCAGGCGGCCTTGTGGGGCCGCTCCCGCCGCCCGCGCTGCTGCCCCTCGTGCAGAATGGGCGCCCCGGGGCGGTAGAGCGGCCGGGCGAGGCGCGCGCTCCGCGCATCCCGCGCGGCCCGATCCTGCGCAGACAGAGGCGAGCTGCGCGCCTCCCCGGCCTGACCGCCCGGGCTCCCGCCTAGGCCCTCCTTCGCCTGGGGTTGCTAGGCCTCCGAGCCCCACCGCGGCTTGTGGGCGCGGCTTGTTGGCAACCTCGCCAGGAGCAGGCAGAGCTGCTCCCGCCTCTGGTAAATTGGGGTGGGCAAGCAAGGCCACCATTCCAGATGCCCTCCAGGAAGCTCGGAGGTAGGGAGGATGGCTCTGGTGACCGGAGAGGTAGAGGAGGGAACAGGATGAGTGAGACATATGGTTGCAGATATACTTGCTTTCCTCAAAAGAGTAGTAGTTTGTCCTTTTCGAGTTTCTGGGTAGCTTAGGGAAAGTTAGAATTGCTTTCGATTGGGAATGTTACAGTTGCAATCTCTTCTGACACAGATTGCTAGACTAAATGGCACCTTGATCTGATCTGTAGTGGCACTTCACACCTTCTGTCCTGTGCTCTTTGTATAAGAGTGCCTGAGAGAATGAAGATCAGCACCGATGAAAGCAGTGAGTCTGAGAATGAAACAGATGAAGACGAGGAGGAGGAAGGAGCTCTGTCAGATGAATCTGCAAATGAATGCCTTAAGAGACTGGAGGCAGAAAATAAAGCATCTCAGCTCCACAGCTCTCAGGACAACCAACAGACCCAGAGCCAGGGACTCAAGTACAACGGCCAAGTGAGCAAGAAGTGTTACCAGACCAGCATTTCCCTCGAAGACCTGGAAGAACAAACAACAGAAGAGTGTGAGCCAGAAGAGACAAGGAGAAAGAAGCGGAAAAAACACAGGTGTGTCTCCTTCCCAGGTCCTTGGTGCCCTTGCTGTTCCCGGGAAATGAGTGTGGCCTTTCCCCATGGCTGCCTGAGCACATACGTATTCCACCAGTGTTGGCACCCACCCCATGCTTCCACAGAGCTTTTGTTTGACCCCAGAGCCATTGTCCCAGGCTTGACAGCTACGTGCGCCATGGGCCATAGCCTTGAAGTATTCAGAGTTAGTCCCACTTTCATTCAACATTTTTCCCCGAGCAGTCACTGAGTGAGTTCCCACAACACTGCAGCCCATCTGTGAATGAGCTGCGGAGGGTGGGTCTTTTGAGGAACACTTTGTGGACCAGACAATCAGTTTCACTGTGGGCTGTTTCCCAAGATCTCCTTCCCTCATGGTTATCCTGCAGAATCCTAGGGACCTGTAGCGGAACCTCCTCCTCCCTCTGATCACAGTCTTATTGTAATCACCAGATTTGCAGCATCTTTTCACTTTTTCTTTTCGAGATGAGCTTTTGCCATCTTTAAAGTGGCAGCCCCTTCAAAGTGCCCAAGAGGCACTTTGGAGCAATCATCACTGGTTTGGCACTTTTTTTCTGTACCAGATACATGCACAAATTATTCTTAACCCAAGCTATGCAAATGTGAAGTCTTGCCTGGTTACTGACCTGGGAAGTGCCTGTTCAAAGCAGGCAGTATCCTTGGACACTGAAAAACCCAGGCTTGACAGCTGCCAAGTACAAGGCAAAGCCAGGAGGAGATCTTTTTCAAAAGGGAGTGGAGAATAGAACACCCTCTTCACAGCAAGATCCTCTAGGTGACTGGCTGTTGCTTTGAAGTTTGAAAAGCAACCTCTGGAAAAACAAGGCAAAAGGTGTTGTGGTCAGATCCAGGGCCAGTGACGGCTGCTCCTAAGTGCTGCTTGAGCAGTTGCTGGAGCAGCTGCTGCTGGTGGTGGCTGGAGTGAGTTCTGCAGAAGGGGGAAGGCATTTAGGTGTTCTCACCAAGGAGCTTTCTCACCAGCTTGGAGAACCTAAGATGGGGTCGGTAATCTGGGCTCAAGCAACAGAACCCACTGTGGGCTCACCAACTGCTGAAATAAGCCGTGGATTGCCAGAGGGCTCAGGTGGAGAAAGGCAAGCCACCCTGAAGGAAATGGCCTGGGTTTGCATGTCATGCCAGTCCAGTGGCTTGCTGTGTGGTGTGAATCCTCTCATGGCTTCCACACACCAGCTCTTGCCAACCACTGAGCAGCCACCTTCTTCCATTTTGATTCCAGGCTGCTGTCCATCAACCTGACCAACTGCAAATACGAGAGTGGTAAGTTAGGGTCGCTTGCCCCTAGTTGGAGAGTATTTCCTGGGGCCTTGCTGTCACTTTGTCTCGCATACCTTCGGCTTGTTGAGGAGCCAGCAAGCACACGCCTGAGCCGAGACGCTTCTGGGGCCGCTCCCGGTGAACCTTCTGTTGGATTCTCAGTGGAATGAGCGGTGCTGCTCAGCGGGGGCAGCCCCTCAGCCACAGAGAGAGCCTGGGGGAGACCTCGGTGCCTCTGGAGCTCCCCACGGCCCTTTCCTTATTTTGCTGCAGTTAGGCGCGCTGCCCGGCGCTGTGGCCTGCGAGAAGTGGGGGAGGATGAGGAGTGGACTGTTTACTGGACTGACTGTTCAGTCTCCCTGGAGCGTGTCATGGAAATGAAGCGGTTTCAGGTATCTGCTGCAGAAGCAGGGGCAGGGGCGCTGTGGTTGGGCAAGTGCTGGCATAAGGCGGGATGTCCCCAGATGGCTATTGAGAGCTGGCAAAAAGCCTCCCCCCTGCAGCCAGGCAGCCTCTGCCTGCAGCTCCATGCAGCTCTTCCGGAATATGTGCTTTCCTTTGCGTGTCTGTCAGCGGTAGTCCCAGTGCTGCCTCCAGACACTCCAGGCTTAAATTTCACAGGGAGCGTGTGCTGCAACAGAGAGACCTTGGCTCGTGGCTCAAAGTTCTGCTGACCACCGGATCTGTAGCAGCAGTGCTCTGTATGTAGGACAGTACCGGAGGATTACTTGGAGACATGGATGAGTGTGAGAAATCACGAGGAGGAACGAGCCACACAGGATTGGTTTCCAGTGTGAAAAGTGCTTTGAATAGCTCTCTATGTCTTCCTTGGTGCAATTAAAAATGCGGATCTTATTTATTCAAGAAAAGGATAAATGTTGTTTAGTTTCAAGGAATTCTGGGGGTGACATACCATAAAATATTCCAACAATGCTAAAATGACAGAGTTAGACGACTCTCCGTCCAACAAACCAATTCATGCATCCACCCATCCTTCAAAAAAAGTTCATTATTTTAAAGACGGGGGTGAGCAAGGACATGGCCATGTAGCCCTTCCCAATGCTGCTACTGATCTGTCTTAATTTGGTTTGAAAAGAAAGCACAGACAGGACCAATCCTCCCTCCCTCTAAAGCCACTTGCACTTGGAAAACCTCTCCCTGGTTGTTCCTCTCTTGCTTCAGAGGTCCTTGGGAGGCCCTGTCTCTTTTGGGGAGAGAATCACCCCCTCCCCCAAAGGCAGAGGCACCTGGAGGGGCAGCAGGTGGAGCCTGGGGCTAGGGCGTCTCTGTGATGTTACTCCAGCCTCTGGATTTTCCCCAGGCCTCTAGTTATGCTTTAAATATGAAGTGAAAGGGCTCTCATGCTCTGATTTTACGGGTCATCTAAATGGAACTTTAAGCCATATTTACTATTTTTATTGCATTCATGTTTTGTGTTTGTACTGAGTATTTTTGGTTATTCATATTGTGTTAATGTTGTGCCTTGGGAATTTTTTTATTCATATTGTGCCTTGGGGATTTTCTTGTAAAATTACAGATGGAATAAAATTTATTAAATAAAGAATAACCAAATAATGTATGTCTATTCAGAAATATGTCTGAGTTAAATGGGAACTTACTGGCAAGTAACTGAGGCTGGGACTGCAGCCTTGGGGGAAAGCACTTGAACGCCCCCCCCCACAAGAGGAGTGGTCTCCTCTGTCCTGTAGCCGCCATGTTCTTGCTTTATTTCAGAAAATTAATCACTTCCCAGGCATGGCAGAGATCTGCCGGAAAGACTTGCTTGCCCGCAACCTCAACCGCATGCTCAAGCTCTTTCCCAAGGAGTACAGCATCTTCCCGCGCACCTGGTGCTTGCCCGCAGAGTGAGTGAGGGGGCGAAAGGGCATGGGAACCCTGGAGGGCAGCCCCCTGCAGGCAACCGTGCAGTGGCGGCGGCGGCCTCCTCCCGTTGGGCACCCCGTGCCGGTTCGAGGCACCTGTCGGATCAAGAACAGTGCCCGCCACGGGCTCAAGAGGGGCAGCGCTGGGGAGCACGGGGGCGGGCACGCGAAGGCTCCCGCACACCCACTGCTCTGTTTCTTGCACAGCTATGGGGATTTCCAGGCCTACGGGCGCATGAGAAAAAACCGGACGTACATCTGCAAACCGGACAGTGGCTGCCAAGGACGAGGCATCTTCATCACACGGAACCCGAAGGAGATCAAGCATGGAGAGCACATGATCTGCCAGCAGTACATTGCCAAGGTAGGCCGAGGCGGCCAGGCGCTTGGCGCTCCTCTGCGGCAGTCTGGACCCAGCTCCGGGCAGGGCCTGGAGGTGCTTGCTCGCCTCACTCAGCCCGCCTCCTTGCAGCCTTTCCTCATCGATGGCTTCAAGTTTGACATGCGCATTTATGTCCTGGTCACCTCCTGCGACCCGCTGAAGATCTTCGTGTACGAGGAGGGGCTGGCCCGCTTTGCCACCATGAGGTACATCGAGCCCAGCAGCAGCAACCTGGTAAAGACGGGACACTTCCCAGGAACGGGCATACACTCTAGAGGGCCGTAAGCTTCTGGGGATGGTTCTTTGCTGGTGAAAAGATGGCCCGGGCCTGGGGCTAGGCCCTGGAACGGCAGCGTCTCCAGGGCTGGGAAAGAAACCCGGCATGTGAAAAGTCGAATTTGCAGCCTGGGGCAAAGAATGCAGCTGACCACAGAGGTAAGAGTAGCCCCCCACGGTCTCCCCCTCAGGACGACATCTGCATGCACCTGACCAACTATGCCATCAACAAACACCATGAGAACTTTGTGCGGGATGACAACACCGGAAGCAAGAGGTACAGTCTCTGCGGCCCCCCTTGGCAGCCTCTGTGATCGGTTCCTGCTTTGAGGCCGCTGCGTCTTTTGCTGAGGCAGCTGTCAGGCAATGGATGCAGTGCGGATGGGAGCCCGTGCAGTCCCTGCTTTGCTGGCCACTCAGACTTGCTGAGCACTACTCAGGCCATTGGAACAATGAGCTGGTTATTCTACAACCCTTTGCTACACATGGAGCGCTAGTTCATTTCTGTGATTTGCTCTCTGAGAAGTTGGCAGGAGAGATTCGATAGCACTGCCCCTGGGGCACGCTTGGTGCCAGAACCCGTATTCCACAAGCAGAAACTCTCACGCATGCCTGCAGCTCAGAGGGGGCACTAGACAGTTGGGCTAGGGAAGACCTTCCCACTTTGCCCAGGACCCAAGGAAGCTATTGCTGATCCGAGGAGACTCTTGGACCAGATGGGCCCATAACACATAGCAGGTTCGTGCTGAGGCTTCGATCCTAGTACACCTGCTTGGAAGTAAGCCCTCCTGCAATGGACTGGAACCAGAATAAGCACGTGCTGGTTGTCCTAGGCTGCCAGGGCCGCTTGCGCCCCTTTCCATGTGGCTGTGGAGGGCACGGCAGGGGTTCGTCCATTCCTGGGGCAGTCTGCCTTGGCTTCCCCCCAGCGCCCTTCCCTCTGCCTGAACGACCCCACAGAAAACTGTCCACACTGAACGCCTGGATGCGGGAGCACAGCTTTGACACCACCTTGCTGTGGCGGGACATCGAGGACATCATCATCAAGACCCTTATTGCCGCCCACCCCGTCCTGAAGCACAACTACCGCACCTGCTTCCCCAACCACGTCTCCGGCTGCGCCTGCTTCGAGATCCTGGGTTTCGATATCATCCTGGACAGGAAGCTCAAGCCGTGGCTTCTGGAGGTAAGCAGAGGCCGGGGCTGCGGACCCCCCCCCCCCCCCGTGGCCCCAGCAGGGAGAGCACCAGCCCGCTGCCCGAGGGCCAGCCAAGCGGGGTCTTCCCCGGCCACTCAGCTTCTTCCGGCTGCACAGCTCGCGCTTTGCGTGTGTCCTCCCCGCTCCTTGGAAAGGAGCAGGCATCGTGCCAGCAAAGACTTTGAAAGTTCGAGATGGAGTGAGAGGGGATGGGTCGGATCCAGCGACTACACTTGTTCGGGTCAGAGCTGGTGGGGAGCCAGGCTGCTCCATTATGGGAGAACCGGTAAAGAGGCTTGTGGCACCCTAGAAACAGAAGCCTGTACTCTGGCATAAGCTCTTGTGGAGCACAGCTCACTCTGCAGAATGCCCCGAGTGCTGCCGTGAGGTCCAGCTTTTTGTGTGCTACGAATGGCTGGGGGATGGCGGTCGGGGCGAAGAAGACGCATAATGAGCAGCGAGGCCGGAAGGAAACCAAATGCAAAAAGTACTGGCAGGAGCAGAACACACCGTGAACATCCGCTTCATGCAGAATCAGGATTGCAGCCGCCCCGTCAGATGTGTCCCTCTGGACTGGCTGCAGGCTCCTGCCCCAGCAAGTGCCATGCCACATCCCCCAAGTCCCAGGCTGACACCTCTCCAAGCGTTGCCAGCTGTGCCCTCAAAGAAACACGTTCTCCCCACTGAAGCACCTGCTTCCCTCTGTGTGCAGCTGCTGCCCAGGCTCAGCCAGACGCCCGAACAGCCACCCGCCACTTGGGCCCACATGGTCTCAAGCGCCTTTCTCCCGGCAGGTCAACCACTCCCCCAGCTTCACCACCGACTCGCGGCTGGACCGTGAAGTGAAGGACGCCCTACTCTGTGATGCCATTAGTCTCATCAACCTGCGTGCCTGCGACAAGAAGAAGGTGCTGGAGGAGGAGAAGAGGCGGGTGAAGGAGCGTCTTCTCCAGGCCCACCAGCCACCACGTGAGGCCAGGTAGCCCTCCCGAGGGCCGAGGGACCCACTGGGCTGGCCGCGGGAGGGCTGTCTGGGCCGCCAGCTGTGCAGTCTCCCTACGACTTCGCCTGGGACCGGCCACCAGGCCTCACGTGCCTTCCCTTTCCCACACCCCTTTTGCGGTGCTCTCCGCTGCAGAAGCAGGAAGCAAGACTGTTCCTCTTCCTTGCCCTTTGGTGGGTGGCCCAACAGAGCCATGTGCCAGTTCCTGAGCTGGTTACCCGGGTGGAAGCTGTTCACAGTGCCATGCCCATCTCTTGGGAGTAAAAAGGGCCCCGCTGCCTGCCTGTGGAGCCATGACGGATGCTCACTGCGATGCCCGAGGGAAGGGCCACGGTGCCCACGAGTCCCTCTCCCGGGCAGGGCTGCTCCGCTTTCTCCTCCGCTGGCCCCAGAGCTGTCCCCTCTACTTGGCAGGCGTGAGCAGCTGGAGAGCAGCCAGGCAGCTTGGCTGGCCCAAGCAGAGAAGTATGAAAACAGCCACCTGGGTGGCTACCGGCGCATCTTCCCATCCCGCGACACGGAGAAGTATGCGCCCTTCTTCAAGCACAGTGGATCCCTCTTCCAGGAGACCGTGGCCTCCAAGGCCAGAGAAGAGTGTGCCAGGTAGTGGGCGGGGCGGGCAAGCCGGAGAACGGCCTCGGGGCCGGGTGCATTCGGTCGGTCGGTCGGTCGGCCCAGGCGGCCTCCACACAAGGTGCCTTCACCCTGCTAGGCAACAGCTAGAGGAGATTCGCCAGAAGCAGGAGCAGAGGGAGAGCACGGCCAGCAGGAAGAAGCGGGACCCAAAGGAGAGCCTGCAGGGCGAGTCGGCCGGGGAGAGGTCACGCGCGAAGGGCAAGAGCAAGTCCGCCCTCACCCGCATGGCGTACAGCCGCAGCAAGACGTGGAACCCCAAGGTAGCTCCTGGGGAGGCGCTCGGCGTGGGTGCGCTGGGGAGGGCCGTCCAGCCCTTTGCACCGGGAGCTCGGCACTCGGGTCTCTCACGCAGCGCAGCCTGCTTGCCACTTCTGTCGTTGCAGGAATCCTCCTCCTGCCGCAGGCAGTGGGAAGTCACAAAGGCCGCAGCCTCCCCGCATCCTGTTCCACTTCACCAAACTCTGCCCAGCCCCTGCCCCACTCTGCGGGCTGCTCTCTGCTGAACCCTGCTCTGTTGGAGAGGTGGCCCTGGGGCCAGTGGCTGCAGAGAGCCTCTCCTGCCTTGCCGCCTCTTCTGCCCAAGTTAACCGCTGAAGAAGGAAGGGTCTCTTTGGCCAGGCAGGTGGAACCAGCAGTCCTGACAGGATACTGACTGGGGGCAGAACATGGGTTGGGAGCCAAAGCGGGACCACCCCAGGATCAGCCCAAGCCTGGAAGAACCCAGGCCGTCCTGGACTGGGAGCAGCAACTGTGCTTAGGGTCATTTTATGCTAGGGCTGAAATAGGTACTGCACATCACAATCTCCAGCTGTCAAGGTGGGCGTGGAGTGCTTGTGGATGAGCCAGCTGTGGCTGTTTTCTTCACAGATGTCCTCCTTGCCATATGACAGCATGACTCCCCAAGCCATAGTGGAAGAGGAGGAAGTGGAGAGGGTCAAAGCTCTCCTGCGCCGGGAAAATCTCATCCGGGGGCTGGGCATTGTGGACCAGCTGACCCGCCTGCTCCGTAACACGGAGCCCAGGCCCGTGGAAATTCAGAGGCCCCACATCAACATCTCAGAAAGCCAGGTGCGTGGTTCTGCCCCAGAGCCACGGTTCCGTGCAGCCTCCTGCAGCCTTGCAGAGCAGCACTCGGGGCGGAAGGGGGTTCTGCCACTCTGGCAGCTGCGGGCGGCTCAGGAGGGCTGCGTTCCAAATCTCGGCCTCCTTTCCTCTCCCAGCCCCACTTTCTCCAGGGTGTGTTTAAGAACCAAGAATCCCAGAGCCTGATGACCCTTGTCCCCCTGTCCCTCTTCGGGGGCCCAGTCCACGAGCTCGGGCAGCAGATGGCACAGCAGCCTGCCACCCAGGTCCAGTTGCTGGGCAGCCAGGGCTTCATCCCAACCATCCTGGGTGCCTTGTCTGGCCTGGGCCCAGCCCACGCACCCTCCTGCTCCTCGCACTTCAAGCCACAGCTGCACATCCAGCCGCCCAGGAACGTGAGCTGGCTGGGCACGGCCACGGTCGGGGAGCCCTGCACGCTCGCGCGGATGCTGAGGACGGGCGGGCGGCGGTTTGCCAGTGCCAGGAACAAGGCAGAAGGCAGTAAGTACCGCCGGGGGCGGGGTGGGGGGACTGGCTTCCCTGTCAGTGCCACTGGGCGCCATAGCCCCACCGCGACCGGAGGCCTTCACGGGGGCGTGGCGCCTGCATGTGCACAGCACGCCTGTGAAGACAGCTGCCAGCGGGTGCCCCTCCTCGCCGCGATTCTCTTTCAGGCAGCCCCGCCAGCAAGAAGCCGCTCTATATGAACTCCGGCTCCCTGAGCTGCCTGTCCCGGCACGGGAAAGCTCCGAGCCACGTGTGCAGCAGCTGCCCCTTCCCCTCCATGGCGGCCCCCATGCACCACGCCGACATGCACGGACTCGCCATCAGCTCCGCCTCGGCGCCCCTCATCCGGCGCACGAGTGCGCACCGCTCCCGCACTGTGGCCACGCTGCCCCTCAGCCAGCCCAGGTAGCCGCCACCCTCCCACCTCGGAGCGGGGGCCCGCTCCGGCAAGGCTGATGCGGTGAGTTGCCAGCCAGTGCTCTTAGCCACCGCCTCGCCTTTTCTTTGCCAGGAAAGGGACTTGACTTGAGCAAAATGGCGCTCCCGGGAGCCAGGAGAGTCGGGCAGGGGCAGCCTGCCGCTTGTGCCTGTGCCAAGAAGGGCGAGGGGGGGAGCAGCGCCTCCATCCTGCTGTGGCAGTCAGGTGACAGGACCCGGAGACCCATGTCCCTTTGCGGCATCCCTTGGCATCGTTCCACAGCTGAGCCATGCAGCCAGATCTCTCCGCCCCTCCAGGAAGCTGCACATTCTGAGAACTGTCCTGGGGCCTTCGGCAGTGTCTCCACCTGCCCCTCCACAAGCCAGCTTCGCTGTTGTGGATGCCCGTCTCCTGCTCAAGTCCAGGCCCCTTCCCAAGGACTGCTGTGGGCTGGGAAGGGGATTTTTGTAGCTGACTTTGTATTAAAGTTTTATACAGTTATACAGCCCTGAGCCTGTCATCTCCCTCACTAGTCATGGCATGTGGTATTCCTAAAATCAGAAGAAGAGGCCAGCTAGCTGAGGCCAAAGGCCTGCCTACTGCAGCGTTTTCTTTCCTGCCACAGCTGGGCAGCCTCTGGGAGCCTCGCTGGCAGGACAGGGGAGCAAAAACCCCTCCTGGGCTCTAGTCCCCCTCGGCCACAAAGTTCACTTTGGGCCAGCCTGTGACTCTCAGACTAACCTCTGCCTCACAGGGTTCTGAGAATAAAATGGAGTAGAGAAGGACCACATAAGCTGTCCTGGATTCCTTGTGAGAGGAGGAGATGCGGGGTGTAAAGGTCGTAAATCGGACTGCAGAGGCCCTGGCAGAGCATTCACTGAAACTGATGCAAGGCGCTCTGAACGAGAGGCCACGGCAGCCCACCTGCCCGCCATTCACTATAGTTCTAGATCTTCATTTCAAGGAACTCAAAGCAGCTAGTATAAGTCTCCTCCTGCTCCTCCTCCCCATTTTGCCCCCCATACCAATCATGAGAGGTAGGTTGGGCTGAGAGTGAGGGCCATGGCTGAGTGGGGACTAGACCCCAGATCGCCCGAGTCCCAGGCCCGCGCTCTTGGCCACAAGACCACTTTGGGCCGTGCACTGTACGCAAGGAATGACCCCCCCGCATTTCAATGTTATCTTCATCCAAGCCTTAGTTCCCCCTCATCCAGTTCATCCCTGTGCCCAAGCGCTGCACTGAGGCAGCTGCGGCATCCATCCCTTGGGCCCTCTGCCATCCCTACTAAACCTCCCGAGGAAGGACGTGCAAGGCCCAAGCGCAGAGCGGGCCGGGCCCTGTCCCTGCTCCTGCTCCAGCGTGGGAAAGGCATCCCGCCAGGGGAAGGGCAGCTGCTCCGAGGCATCGCCGCAACGGCCTCCTCCCGAAGCTTGCTCTGCCCGTGCCGACCGCGCCCAACTTCTTCACGGGCCTCGGCGCAGCTGCGCGCGGGGAGCGGCCGTCGGAACCCCCGAGCCATCCTTCCCTTCCAAGGGGCAACCGGGGCTCCGGGAGCAGCACGAGGCACACGGCTGGAAACGCCCCCTGAGCACAAGCCCCCAGGAGGCCGCTGCCCGCGAGAGGGGCGCCAGCCACGCGCGGCCGGACCGCGGGAGGCGAGACCTGCCGGAGCTCCGGGCGCCACGACCCAGGCCCCGCCGCCGCCCGCGACCTCTCAAGAAGGCAAGCGCCGCGGGGGCGCCCGGCTTCCGGCGGGCGCCCCGCCCCTTCCCGCCGACCTCGGCCGGCTTTCCGCCCGGGAGGCTGCGCGGCTGCGCCTGCTCGCCGTGCGCGGGACGCGATGGGGCCCGGGCGGCTGCGGCTGCTGCGCGGCGCCTTCGCGCGGATGGCGGGAGAGCCGATCGAGGCCGAGGCGGCGGAGGCGGCGCTGGAGGCGGCGAGGTAGGGCCGCTCCGGCTCCGGCCCCGGCCCGGGGCCACGCCCGCGGCCCGCGGCCCGCTGACCCTCTCTCTCTCCGCAGGCTGCTGCGGGGCCAGGCTGCGGCCGCCCGCGCTCGCCGAGTGCGGAAGCTGATGGAGCCGCCGGGGCCGCCGGAGCGCACCTTGACCCGCCAGGCCATGGAGCAGATGCGGTGAGCGCGGCGGCGGGCGGCGGCGGCGGCGGGCGGCGGGCGCGCAGAGGGCGCGGGGCAGGCGAGGGCAGCTGCGGCCTCTCCCTCTCTCCCCCGCAGGTTCCTCGGCCGCGAGTGGCCCGTGCACCGCCTGGCGCGCGGCTTCCAGGTGCAGCCGGAGGTGGTGCTCAGGGTGCTGAGGAGCCGCTTCTCCCCGTCCCCGGAGCGCCGTCGGAAGCAGGACGCCCGCGCCCTGGCCAGCAGCCGCCCGCGCCCCGGGGCGGACGAGGCCGCCCCCCGGCTGCAGCCCGCCAGCCCCGCGGGCTCGCCGGCCCGGCTCTCCGCGACGCGCGCCGGACCAAGGCGTGCCCCCGCAGCGGTGC